GAATGTGCTTCTTGAACTTTTGCAGAAACGCATTCTCATCTCTTCCTTTACAGCGCTGTATGTGATTTGATTCCTCAAATCGCCCGAATAACGCTTCATTATATTGGTGATCCAAAGATAGTGGAAATAGTGCGATTACTTTGCCCGACCAATGCAAGTCATCTCGGAAGCCTTTTTTGAGCAGTTTCACATGGAAATTGCAGTGAAAATCATTCGTTTTATGCATTATTATGACTAACTCTGTTGGTCAATCATTGGCCTCTCTTCACGCGGTCGCAATGACTACCGTGGAGAAAAATTGATGGTTGGGTAAAGTTCGGGGTGTGCTTTGAAACCCGGAAATTGCTCCTGAGATCTGTACCCAACATTTTGAGACCATCGAGTCAAATTGATTCATCTACTGAGTCATCCTCTTAATACTCGTATCACTTCCCCGGTTGAGGGTTTATTTGTACTCGTTCAATTGCCACAACCGTCTAAGTCGGTGGTGAAAAACCTATCACTGATGCTTATAATGGTGATGATACCCCTCTGCCGTGATGACGCACACTTATGGCCAATTCAGGACACGTCGGTTCTCCATCGTGCAGGCACACAATCCCAACCCCACCTCTCTTGGTCAATTGGTTGGTGTGTGTATGGCCGTGGGTGTGACAGTAGAATACCTTTGTTTTCCCTTTCATTGCCTCCGTCTCCTACTCCATCTTGTCTTGAATGGCAGAGGGTGAATCAACACACTTATCACTGATCTCGCAATGTACTTGGCATCTCTGCACGTCAAGCTTACACATTTCTAGAGGCTTCATTCCCTTTGAATTTGAGTCCTACAAATGAACTTGGGTGGCCAGTTTTTTTTCGTCCGAATTTTCAGGCGGTCTTATTTTTCGTCTCATTCGTTATCATTTATGTGTGCATTGAATTTGTCAGCAGCTCAAATTTGTGCAGTCACCGTTACCGAACTTGCGTGTATCGTTTTGATGTTTCCTCTCCAAAGCTATTTGAGGAACATCGGTTTTGAGGTGATGAGAAGCTGATGTAGTGGGTGGCCCTGTGCTAACGCTTCAAAGTACCCTTGGTGTTTTGTGAATTGAATGTTTCTATTAATGGCGTTGAATCGGTTTATTCAGAAAGTACTAGGCATTCTAACTTCCCAACTGAAAACAATAATTTAATTCATCTCGCGTAATACGTTACTGTGGTTGCAATACACCACTTTTCCCTTGATAAGTGGACTTATATGTGCTTGATGCAAATTTTAGTTCCCGAA